AAGACAAAACGTGAAACAAAACTAGATAAACACATGTAATCACAGAACATAAATACATTTATTGAAATCTATATTGTGAAGTTGTAATATTTTATCAAACTTTTTTTGAAAATGACACGACAGATATTGCTTACCCCATGAAGCGGCATTTACGTTGATAGTCTAAGATTAATAATGTAAAAGCCCCATTAGTCCAATTGCTGGCACAATAGAAGATAATGCGGTGCTTTGTCCGTACAAATGACTGATTGGCACGGACAGACTGAATACTCATTTTCGGTATATAACCGGACTGGCGCCGGAAAGTGGACTTATCAGACCGTTATTTTATATCACATACCTGTGCCTGACAGAGCATGTCTAGGTAATGTATGCTATGTCCACCTCACTGGTGGTGTTTCTTAGCCTAGCCTTCTCTGCGTCATCGAGAATGTGTCTCCCCCGACAACACCGACGACATTGTACCTTCAGCACGGTTAAAGAAAACGTTCTTTGGGACACTGGGGGCGATTATGTTCTCAATTGTAATCGAGCTGTCTAACACTTCTACCGTGATGATATTATATATATTGACTGTAATTAAATTATTGAATGCGGTGACAAAACATTTATAACGGCGGACGCTAGATGAGTACCACAGGCTTACCCCCCCCCCCCCCCGTCTTCGAATGTCTGAAACACGGTAGCAAACGTAAGGGTAAGTTGTGTGTCCATTGCAGTATATCTTCAATGACGGCATGCCTTTGTCTGTTTTGTTTCTACTCGGTCAAAACATTTCACTAGATACAACAGTCTATAATTTACTGTATATAGTTGTGTGTCTTTTTTCTATCTTCGGCATATCTTCATAATTTCAACAACAGTGATCTGCGATGTTTATAAATCGTGGGTGGGGCGCTTACATGTACACCCGTACCTGTACGTTCTTGATTTCACGAGTGCTCGTGTAAACGACGAGAGCACGATGATTCAACCCAAACCCCTATATCAGGGAACATGCTTTTATAATTTGTTTTCAGTTATTTCGTTCATAGTGGTTTCGGCGTCTGTTACACTTCAAAATGTTGGATATTCGGATGTGGCAATTGTAATGGCCTTCCGGCCACAGCTCATGAACACACAGATTGAGTTAGTTTAATATATTCTGTTAACATGTGTCCATTACGTTATAAAATTATAGTTCGCTGCATTTCCTATTTCCGTTTGAATTTTAGTATCTTATTATAATTATTCACAATTATCATAATGCAGCATTTTGAGAAATTTGCGCCTACTACTGTCAGCAGGTCATAAAACTTGGTCACCGACGAACTACAGTAAACGAAACAATTAAACATTAAGGCCATTTCAATGTTAACCGCTATGTCGTATAAATGTCAATTTCAACAATGCTAATCATGTACATTTCCCCCAATTGCCAATTCTATCGGGTTGTCCTATTGATTTTTGCAGCCTATAACTCAAACGTCCCAATCCAGGTGTGTTCGTGATCTTTGACTGCAACTGTACTTTATTGACATAAATCGCTGTCGTGGAGTTATTACTTATCGGCGTTTCGATCTGAATGTCATACCTTTCTAGGACATTAGATTTGTCGTAAGGACAGTGTTCGCCATCTCTTTTGAGATATCCAAATACCCCACTATCTGTACATTGATCTTTATTTTAGGAATGTTGTTATTAGTTTGTTTGACATTTTATAACCCTGTACCTCTTTGATCAACATTCTACAACAAAAATGCGAAGGTGTTAACGGCTTGTATATTTTCATTTTGCCCATCATCTAAAATGATAATCATAACGGACACTTACGCATAAATTATTACAACTGTTCGTTTTCAATTCAAAGTATAACAAAATTTACCTACTGGACTGGAATGCACTTAAAACGCCTTCTTAAAGTTAACCAAACAACCCAGATTGGGGGCAGTGTAAACTGTATTCAAAATAACAGTCTGGGAGGAATAGATCTCTATAATGGCGATAACATTACTAGCATTAATAGTAAATGGCTGTGTTCATCTCACAAATAGATTTGAAAGATTCGACAAGTTGTTGTTTTTGTTGATGATGTCATGGTGACGTCACAACATCCGAATTGTGGCGACTGTTTAACGTAACGATATGACGATGTGTCACGTGATATGAAGACTCGCATAACTCGCAAAACAGTTCATAGCTACTTCAAATTACATCTCAACAATCGTAACTTTAATAGAAAACAGTGTACAGTTAGTATACAGATCTGCCATCGATCTAAACAATAGCGAATTCTCCGTATCTGTTGGTACAATACCGCTAATCAGAGAGGATTAACAAGATTTATTCTAGGCTTATCTCATAAATATCATAGATATATATATAGAGATATATATATATGAGATCGATGCTGGTGATCGGAGCACAGAGCTATGCATAGATTCACACCTGTGAAACCAATGACCCTGAGTGGTTACTTCGATATTTCGACAAACAATTCTAATGACGCATGCCAAAGATGCTAAGGCTATTTGTAAGTGCAACTTCGAATTTACTAAAAATTTATAGGCACAGAGTTCGAAGGTCATCCTATCGGCATGTGCGATTCGTGTGTTGCTATATAAATGGAATTGATATTGATGGAAACATTTTCGGGTAATTTGAATACCATCTTATGCGTGCATTAGGTTTTACTTCACATTATAGCGAATTTATATTATATTTCCAACTGAACTCTCGGTAATCATTCTATGATAATTACTAATTCAAAGTCTACACCACTTTTTATAACTGGAGTGAAGGTATGGTTGTAGAAGAAACCATATATACCGAGGCGTCAACAGAGTCGTCACGATTAATCTATTTGTTGTGCCTTACACGAAATAAAAAATACAAGTACGCAGAGTTATGTTTATGTTTATCTGTCCACTCTACGCCAGCCAGGGAAACACACTTCAAACGTGCGAATGTCAACTCCATTTCGGGTTATTGGGTGTTATGATTAACAATCGCTTCAACACGCCCAGCGTGTTTCAATAACCCCCAACGCCGACTCTACACCGAAGTTAACTCCCGATAGCTTGATTGTCACTCCATATGCCCGCGTAAAGTATTGGGATTCTTATCGGTGGACTTTCAGCGTAAATTGTTAATGCGATATTTTCACACCTAGTTTGATGACGTTCACACCATTGGCCGCCGCTAACGGAACAAGGTCCGACAGAAATAAGAATAAATTAGATTGATTTATGTCACCTGCGTGTTTACATATATTTGTACTGGCAACCAATAGTTAGATCAGACGATAACGTGGCTTATACTTTAGCCATGGAAGGCGGGACCATGTAAGATAAGTTACGACATACGACGAGTATGGAGTGTTGTTTCATACGTTGAGGTATACAAAATGGGGTCCCGAAACAGGTGTATTTTCACCCTGCTCACGCAGTTTGGATGTTTTCTCCGGTTGTAATAACACGTAGGTAACATTATTTCGATTTCTAACGTTTGTGATAGAGTGTAATGGTATTTGCTTCAGGTTCTCCGTTCGAATCGTGACCTGGAATGGCAGCAAAGGGCGGCTTAATAATAAAGTCGTTAGGACGGCCATTTTGGTTTTGCAACTGAACGCAGCCGTGATTCCCGTTGGTCCCTCATACGTAGGCGATGTGTTTTCAACAAATTTGATGGAATGAAACTCACATTGTAATGCTCATTCAGAATATATTCCACATATTGACTATTTTATCAAAACATGCCTGAAACTATAACATCTAAATGACATATAATATTATCAATTTATTTCACAACTTCCCATATAGTTCGCCTGTTGTCTGGTACATAACACAGCACGTAGCTCACGGTGGGGGTGTTCGGCGATGTACTGATGTGTAATTTCACTACATTATAGTTAACATGTGTGTAACATGTTCCTGGTAATATTATTTTACGTAGGTCAAAACAACGAAGACAGACAATAGCATAAAATGAATGCCCTGGGTAAACAAATGACGATATCGAACATTAAGCAGCCCGTGTGGTGAGGTCAATTTGCTAGGCCTATCAGTTACCCCGGGTAAACAATGCCGAGGTCGCCAATTGCTTGGGCAGCAATGTGGTTGACCATGTATTTAAAATATCAATCCGTGGTCGATAACGCATAACCTTGTATAACTTATACAGTTTCAATTGCTGGTCATAGAACACGACTGAATAATACAGCATCAATCACGCAGAAACAATTGCCATTACCCTACATTTTATTTGAAAGGAAGTCATCCAGTCATGTGTGTGATTCGGTTATATCCATGTTTCAAGTTTTTATTCATTTTGTATTTATACGATGAATGTGACTCAGGAGTTGTCCCGCCCTTCATAACATTCATCGCTAGGGACCAGCAATAGAGACTACATAAAGCGTTTATACTGAGATCTCATTGTTGCACTTTTCAATATTGCATTTTTTGTTTCGCCAATGCTACACGTCAGTATTACTACATGAGTAAATATTTCATGAGGCAACATTTCTATATTTAAATATTTAGGTATTCAATACTGTTTAGAATATAACCTCAGTTTATTGTCTAAACTAAAATTCAAACTCTTTCAAATGTAAATTACTTCACTACATCACCGACAATTAATAGAAACCACAATAGCTGTTATATGACCAACATACTCTTTTGGAAGTATTAAGTAATTATTGATTAAGATATTACACTTCAAGTCACGCAACCCGCAACTAATCTGTGTCATAATTAAATAGTTACTGCATACGCTTTAATTATTTTATTAATCAGATGAAGTGAATGCAAGAGCAGGTACCATAAAATCGTATCCAACAGCTCTGTTTTCATTTGACACTGGGATATGACTTTGTCAATTTTATTCACATGAGATTCGTTTTTATTTTCTCTTAGGTTGATCTGAAGGCGACAGTGAAACAGTCATGGTTATTTTCATGGACATGTCAAACTTAACCATCCCCGCGCCATAATATGTAATGCCTTTATGACGACACCATGTTGAGGGTACCGCTGTGTCTGCTACTTTGTCTGCAGATCGTGATTTCTGATGACTGCCTAGAGGGATGTGAATGCTACAGGACAACTGTGTATTGCGAGAATCTAGGATTACAGGAAGTACCTTCGGGTATTCCAGTTACAACAACGGTTCTATCACTTGATAAAAACTACATCACCATTCTCAGAAATGATAGCTTTGTGGGTCTCGTGAATTTGGAAGAGCTATACGTACAAGACAACCTTCTCTCTCTCATCGAAGTCGGAGCATTTCTAGATCAGGCGAAGCTTAGGTACTTGTATCTAGCAGTCAACAGATTATCGCATCTAAAACGATCTGTTTTCGTTCCTCTCAGCAGTATAAAAACAATCAGTCTACAGAATAACTACCTGACATCACTCACGGCATTCTCAATTAATTCAACGGTACAAGATCTTCTGTTAGACAACAATAACATTAGCAAGTTATCAAACAATTGTTTGGAAGGTTTAAGTCAATTAACAACGTTGGGAGTGGAGAGTAATAACATGTCTTCCATCGAAGCAGCAGCATTCAGTGGATTGAATAATTTACACAGGCTGTATTTACATTACAACCAACTGCGTTTGTTGCCATATAGCGTATTCACGCCTTGTTTCAACTTGCAAGAAATTGGAATCAGGCAGAACAATCTGGTAATGATTCCCGATCTCTCAGCCCTGTGGAACTTGACAGTGTTAGAATTACAGGACAACAGTATTTCAACAATACATTTAAATACTTTTAGCTCACAAGAGAGACTTCGGACGTTAAAGCTTGACAACAATCTGTTGACCAGCGTGCCTAATCTCTTGATGATTTCTAATTTAAGGACATTATCTCTTAATAAAAACCGCATCACTGACATTCATGATGAAGCATTTCGCAATAAGGAGTATTTTCAAGATTTTAAAATTGAAGATAATTTATTAACAAAAGTGCCAATTGCAATTAAATATCTTCCGTTGAAAGATTTGAGCTTTGTCAAAAATCCAATAATCAGGATCGAAGCTGATGCATTTGCTGGGCTGACAAATCTAGAAAACTTGTGGATTCACGATATGGACCTACTTCACTTACACGAGGATGCATTCATGGCACAAAAACAGAACACGCATGGATTAAACTTATTTTTGCAGGGAAATGATTTACAGACATTGCCTGGCACAATTTTTGAAGGCCTCAATCTTGAAAATCTAGATCTACAAGATAATCCCTGGAGCTGTGACTGTGGAATGTGCGATTATCGTATCTGGATGCCACCTTCTCCAGATGATGGAGACAATAAATTTGATGTCATATGTGAACAACCTGATGAACATCTAGGTTTCTATCTCTCGGAATTAAAACTAGAAGAACTTGTATGTCAGCTACCGTCCATTACAGAATCCTATGAAAACATCCAAGTCAGTCAAGGAGCCTCGGCCGTTTTCAATTGTACATCTATAGGTCTGCCACAGCCATTTCCATTTTGGTTAACTCCAAGTGGTTATAATATTACAATGGAGACTGAAAACAGCAAAGTTGAGTTAGACAAAAATGGTACCTTAGTTCTTTATGATGCTGACTTTAGCGACTGTGGGATTTACACATGTATTGTGGTTAATGTGGCTGGCCATGATACTGCAAACACCACATTGATAGTTACTGAACCAACTTCAGCACCTACAGTGGTTAATACAATCACAGTACCGCCAAGGAACACTCTAAACACATCTGATAAGACCAACAGACAGACAAATCTATGGACCGTTCCTAGAACAAGTACGCTTTGCACTGTACCCACTGGGCCAGCGATCACCACTTCGGCGGCAACAGAAACACACTCTACACTATTAACGGCAATACAATCGTCAACCACAACAACTAGCCCAGGAACATCAGCATCAATATCAGCAACAACGAAATCTGCTGAGACAGGCCATCCGCCACCGACAAGTACAACAGAGGCTACACGTCATTCAACAAAAGAATCAGAAAATATCACCGCACCACAGACACAGACAGAATGTTCGAGTTTATTACCTACTGAGACAGGAACGGACCCGCAACCTACCAACACCACGACAAATTCAACAACACTACCCACCAATGATGGCAATGGAAATTCGATTGTAGTTGTTGTTGTTATTTGCTGTTCTTGCGCCTTTATAACTGTAACATGTTGTGTTATTTTTGTGTATTTTTATCACAAAAGGAAACAATACGACAAACAAATGGCAACCACAAACAAGAGTCATACTGACATCACGCGACACACAGTCGACCCACATGAGAAAACCCAAACATCGCACATGGGAGTGCATCTGAACACTTTCACAGGAACACCTGTGGCGAACGGTCTCGATTTAGACACGCATATAGAATTAAAACATTCCAATTCAATTGACGAGCGAATAGAGAGACATTTAGCAAACAGAAACAGTTCACCGGAGGATGAAGGTGAGATATTTAGTACCCCATCACCGGTACCATACCATTCATCTGATTCTGAGTAGCTCAAGTAACTGTATGCGTGGCATTCTCGTCATTTCATCACCGAATCTCTAATTTGGTCTTCCACAATTGGAAAGTCCAGACGCACGTGACATGACGTCATCGTATAGATGCTTTCTTTCTTTACTTCATTTTAACAGCCTGAAACGTACTCATAAATATCTTCATACTCATGATTCGTATGGTTTTTTAAGAGATGTTTTCATATACTTGTGCAATTTATTTAATACCTACTGTAATCTTTTTTGCACGTACTTTAGTTTTCTTTATACAAGAAACTAACACGAATTAATGTGTATATTCTGTTTCTTATATTCTGACCTCGTTAAACGATTCATCTTTTTTGTAAAACACGGACTGTTGTGTCTTTTATTTTCCTATGTATGTACCACGGTAACGGTAACCACAGACAGGACTTACAAGTGGGAAAATATAATAAATGAAATGAAAGTGCTGATAAGAGAGCTAATTGCCATATATGGAGACACCATCTATATTTCTCTCAAAACAGAGCATTGGGGAGGCAGTATACAAGATGGCTGCTCCACACAGGATGAAACTCCTGGAATGAACTCTTATTGACAATAATATTCATTATATTAATTTACCACTTCTTCGCCATCTGGCTGTCACCATGGTGTATATTTCCTGTGTGTTTCTAAGACACAATCCCCAAGTTCATATCACATTAGTCACGTACTAGTACATTTTTACCTAATTAGAGGGTCGGCAAGGGGTATTTTCGTATGCTGTAATCAATTCTTTTTATTTTCGTAATAATGTATTTTAAATTTTAAAAAAATCACGTAAATTCGTAGACATAGGCAATGTGTAAAATGTAATCAGCTATTTGATTCGTCCGTAAAAGATCTTATTTTTTGTAAGCGTGTAAAGCATTTCTATATTAAATGGCGTAATTAGTACGCAATTATGATTCTTAAATTATTTTGCTTCTTAAACACAAATTATTAAAAATATTATAAAAATGTAAAATGTACTTAGGAATTTGCTTTATCTGTAAAGTGTAAAAAACTATTTTTTTCTGTAAATGAAACTTTCATTTTATTTCTTGTAAAAAACGTAAAATGCCATTTTTATGTCCTGTAACTTGTACCAGCTACCCCTCCCTTGCCTCCCCTCTAATTAGGAATGAACCATTAGAAACTCGCGGAGTATAAATGTAATGTAAATGTTTTCCCAATATCGAACTATTCTCCTCGATCGACTGGTTATTATATTTAGTTTTACATTGGCACATCATTCTCTCTCCTAAATATATTCCGTGTTTTGGCCAGCCTTGGGGGAAGACCCGTTAGGTCTTACCTGAATTGAATTGAATTAGATTTTATTGGAAATTGTAATATGCATCAATGACAGAGCTCAACACGTATACACCGAATTAATTAAAATTTGAATTTTCAGAAACTGGCTTCAATCCATGTTCATCGTACATTGCTGTGCTCACAAATCTATATGAGACTATTCTTAGTATTATAAGCATAGAAAACACATCTTTCTTTCCAAATGCGGACACGTGACCCATACCACCTGACTGGTCACAGTATCAACAACATTCACGGTAGAGGGCATAAGGCAAGACTACCAGTAGCTGCCAACATAGAACGGACACGATATTTACACATTATTTCTTCTATTTTTCTAGGTGTTTTCGTTTAACTGGAACCAAAAAGATCAATCAACTGAAG